ACAAGTGCTGGCATGCTGAAACTTCTAGTCCCCTACAGGCAACCTAAGGCTCACAAGCTTGCAGAAAAAACAAGTGCCATGCTGCTGCTATCCCTAAACATTATTTTGCTGAACATTTTATACAGGGATTTCCAGATATGGTAGGGAATGCTGAGGATTGTCAATGCCTGCTTATGTACATTATCACAGGTATGTTACGGTCTACGATATAGGTTATGCCAGGGTGTGCTCTCTTTCCTCTCATTGCTAGTTAAAATTACACGATTTTAGTCCTTATCTGAATTTGCAGTTTTAGCTATATAAAAACATCTATTGCTAAATTGGGATTAAGGATCAGGCCCTCCTTTCCCTCTTGTATTGAACTGTATTGTTGCTGTATTGTCTCCCGATATATTGTAAAGCGCTGAGCAAACTATTGGCGCTATATAAATCCTGTATAATAATTATAGTATATGTGGCCATATATAGGACTTTTCATTTCTGGAAAGATCAACAAGTCTTTTCTGTATATGCTTGAAATGTTCCTGGAAAATGAAAACAAATGCAGCCACCCATTCTAAGGACTGGCTTTGTGCAATATATTACATTTTTGTTCTCAGGTTTAGTTATACTTTATAGTACTGTGCACTGATGCAGCTTACAGTATAAGCGTATGGATATATAAAATATAAATTTGCAAATTTGCTAACAACATGTGTTTTTAAACAGTATCTCAATCTTTTTTTGTATTAGCTTCCAGTAATTCCTTTCAGCAGCATTCAGAATGGGAAAGGAAGAAGCAATGTAAGCCATTCAGGCTTTACAGCAATGCACATACACTCAACGGCCACTTTATTAGGTACAACTTGCTAGTGCGAGGAAAATATCCTCCACACCATTACACCACCACCAGCCTGAACCGGTGATACACAGCAGGATGGATCCATGCTTTCATGTTGTTTATGCCAAATTCTGACTCTACCATCCAAATGTTGCAGCAACCAGTGTGCCCATTCTCCTCTGACCTCAACAAGGCATTTTTTGTCCACGCAACTGCTGCTCACTGGAATATTTTCTCTTTTTTTGGACCATTCTCTGTAAACCCTAGAGATGTTTGTGCGTGAAAATCTCAGTAGATCATCAGCTTTTGAAATGCTCAGACCACCCTGCCTGGCACCAACAACCATGCCACATTCAAAGTCACCTAAATCCCCTTTCTTTCCCATTCTGATGCTCGATTTGAACTTCAGCAAGTTGTCTAACCCCTCTAGATGCCTAAATGCATTGAGTTGCTGCCATGTGATTGGCTGATTAGCAATTTGTGTTACCAAGCAATTGAATAGGTGTACCTAATAAGGTGGGCTGTGAATGTATATGTTAACCTTACAAATTGCATTCTGATTGGAAGAGAGAGGGCACGAGATAACCTAATTAAGAGAGCTGCTATTCCTTGATTATCCAGTCATAGCCTCAACCAAGCTTTAATATTTTGGTGCCAGTTACATAGTTAGTCCATTTGAAAAAAGACACATGTCCTTCTAGGCAGTGAAGAAATAACAGTAGTCATAAAACCCGTTATCTTCTCTGAATTGGAAAATTGGCATATTTATATTTTACATTTTTGGCTGGTATAGTAGATCAGTCATGTATACTAACAGTTTATTTATTTGCCTACGCTTTAAAAAGGAATAATCCCTTTATCCCTTCTTACCTGTTATACTGAAAACATGTTCTCCTCCATTATAAATCTAGTGTTGTACAGCTGTGATCCACCAATCTGCTGCCACGGGTTGGGTTTCCATGCCGCCATCTTCTTCTCTGACATCATCATTAGCCTGCTGTCTTTTTCCAGGTTCTGCAGCTGGCCCCTGATCACTGCCAGGTCTTCCCAGTGGCCATTGTGTGTCCCTGCTATTGCCTCCTCCTAAGATATGTGATGTGGATATCCCATGAGGCCATCAAAGCAGAAATATGTCATTCTCACCTAGGTGAGAATAAAGGCAGGGCCAAACAAAAAAAATTAAAAAAAATAAACAAATGGAAAAAATTGGACTTTCCTTTTGCGCATTGGGTTCAGAGTGAAAGGATGTAATGTGAATCTAGGAAGTGAAGGTCTTCTTTAAGCAGCGATGGGTCTTGCGCGAAAAATGTTGAATCATACAACAAAAATACTGCAAGGGTCTGCGCATGCCTTTTTGAAAGATTAAATTCTTCCTAGTAGACGGGCAGATTTATTTTAGGAGTTTTTCAATTTGTTTGTGAAAGCACATTTCTTCATTTCTTCTTCTACTTCTTCATAAAGGGCTGTCTAGCCAGAACTTTTATTTCCATGATAGGTGGATACTGGTGGGCTGAATCACCCTTTACTTACTTTTGTTTCTTTGGGAATTTAGTGATAACATCTGTCTTTGCTTCCTCCCGCTGAATTATTCACAATGTAAAATAACTGTAAAATCCTACTACCAGTAAGATATAACTAATGATAGCTGGAGTAAGTTGAAGGACCTGGTTTTGGAGATTTCAGTTACACTTCCTGCCTTGGTGACTATTCTGTTTGGTACAGTAAGCATCGTGGAAAATACTCTATATGGCCAAATGTTTGTTGACACCAGACCATTAAACTGATAAGAGCTTGTTGGATCACCCATTCCAAAATCGTAGGTATAAATATGAGGTTCCCACCACCCTCTTTGTTGATAAAACTGCATTCACTCTTTTTGGATGGCTTTTGACAAGATATTGGAGTGGGAATTTGATCCCCTTCAGCCAGAAGGACATATGTGAACTCAGGTACTGATGTTGAATGAGGGGGCCTGTCTCCCAATCACCTTTGGAATAAAATGGAGTCCTGACTAATAGGGCTGAGGTGGGGGCTCTGTGCTGGCCACTCGAGTTCTTCTACACCCAACTAATCAAACCATGTCTTTATGCAGTTGGCTTTGTGCACAGGGGTGCAGATGTTCTGGATTAGAAAAGTGCCTTCCCAAAACTGTTGCCACAAGGTTGGAAGCATACAATTGTCTAAAATATCTTTGTATGCTGTATCATTACCAGTTCTTTTCTATGAAGAAAAAGAAAAAACTGGTCACCTACCCAGGTCTATAACTGGCTTTTTATACAGTTAACATGGAAGGCGTCACAGAGTAAAAAATAGGACTATCCAGTTCAACTTGCCAGCCTACCCCAATCTAATAATGGCTATTGTCGGCAAGGAACATGGATAAGTATAACTTATCAAAAGAGGGGGCTAAGAAAGCCAGTTCAAACTGCCAGCCAGTTAGCCAGCTATCAAACCAAATTAACCTGTCTAAGAACATGCGTTTAAAAACAGGGGTTTAGTTAGCACACATTTGCAAATACATTCGTAAGCCACAGAGCCACATCACGGCACCCTGAGTATCTGTGGTCCTAACTCTATAAATCTTGAGTCCTCACAATGGAGGCACATGCATTTAAATGGATAGAAACAAGGGCATGTCTTCTATGAAGACACTTGAACTCATTGATTTGGAGAGGTCTCCATATATTTCAAGTCATATTGTGTAGTTCAGCACAACCTTCCTGCCTCTACCCAAAACAATTAAAAAAAAATCTTGGCTAGGTTCCAGTTTGTCTAGCTTTGTACTGTAATACTAAACAAAAAGACAATAGTTCTAGTGAAAATGCCTTTTAAGTCAAATGTATACAGATCGTGTCTGCTGGCAATGTAAATATTACATGTAGTTACATAGAGAAGGGTTATTAGTCCTTGTTTGTTCACGGTTATTAACAGAACTCAGTGTAAGTATTCTGTTAGGAGCCTAAACAAGAGTTATGAGTATGAAACATTATTTCAGCAGTTCTTAACCTTTTTACTCCAGAAGAACCCCTAAAGCATATTTCTCTTACATTAATGATCACTAGGAGTAATGCACACCTTTCCGTGGTAGTGCCACCCCTTCAAATAGCTAAAAAGATCTTCAGTGGCATGCCGCTGCCTCTGTCAGGTGATGTCAGATATGAAAGTTTCCAAGCATCATCAGATGGGAGGTCAGTCAGCCACAGCTTGAGGAACCCCTAGCAATCTCTGAAGGAAGCCTAGGGTTCCACGGAGCCCTGGTTGAAAATGGCTGCACTAGTTACTTCAATAGAAAATTATAAAGTGTATCTGAAGCCAAAATCTTTTCTAGGTTTGAATAAAGTGTGGAATGAATAAACAACTAAATTTGTTTTCCTTTCTTGTCGAAGAGACACAACAGGAAGCCAGAAGAAATGTCTCCACAGTGAGGGAAAATCCCCTTTTAGACAGTTGTCCCCACTATATATTCCTTTCTGTTTCTGTTCTAGGGACAACTGTCTAATGTTGGATTTCCCAATACTGTCTCCTGTCACCAGGACAAATAGAAAGGATGAATCACCCAGCATTGACAGCAATAAAAACCTTACAGGGATTCTAGTCTTCTCTACTCTCAAAAAAAAAAGTTTTGAGCTAAAGATGCTGATAGCAGAGTAATGAAGCAGCAGACAAAAGTGACACTTTGTGCTCTTAATTGAGACAAGTACACACTATAGAGCAGGGGTCCTCAAACTGCGGCCCGCGTGCGGACCACATGCGGCCCGCCGAGGACATTTATCCGGCCCGCCGGCGGGGGCGTATTTGCCGCAAGGAAGGGACACTAAGTACAGGTGCGGGCAGGGGGCTGCTGTATCTTACCTGGCTCCGTGTCCCACGATGATCCAGTCCAGGAATCGCTGCTCCTTCATTCACTCCGGCCACTGCCTCACTCGATGTTCGCGCTGCCACTCAGCTCTGCCTCCTCACCAGTGATTGGGCGCCAGAACTGTAGCTCAGGAAAGGCACACAGGCGGCCAATCACCTGCCAGGAGGCGGAGCCGAGCTGCCCTGCGAACATCGAGTGAGGGAGAGGCCGGAGTGAAGAAGGACAGCTGACAGGTAAGTGTGCCGTGCAGATGGTGCTGCTGCAACCAGGTATGCTGGCTGCAGCAGCACCATGCTGGAACAGGGGTCAGCAAGTTAAGAGTCATTGGTGTCAGTGGGAGGAATAGTGCCCCATCATTGGTGTCACTGATACTAATGATGGGGCATTATTCCTCCCACTGACACCAATGATGGGGCACTATTCCTCCCCCCACTGACACCAACGATGGGGCACTATTCCTCCCCCCACTGACACCAACGATGGGGCACTATTCTACCCCCCACTGACACCAACGATGGAACACTATTCCTTCCCCCACTGACACCAATGGCGGGGTACTATTCCCCCCCCCCCCCCACTGACACCAACGACGGAGCAGGTTATCAGATGATTGTTCCAAAAGCTTTTTTTTTTTTCATGCGATTTTCTCATCATGTATGCTAGGCATAAGTCCTGTGGATTTTAACTTCTCACCTTGATATGTTGATGCTTTACGTTGTCTCCACATGTACATTTTATCTATTTCACATTGCACTTCCCAGACCCTTGATCCTCCTCCCTTTCCCACCATCCCCCTTGTTTGTTACCGTTTTACCTTGCATAATTCTGTATTGACTTCCAAAAATATAAAAATCAAAGTAAAGATATATTTGAACAGATATGTGACTTTTCAAGCAGTTTTTTTTTTTTCATGTAAATCTTGTGAGGCGGAAGGCTGGTAGATGTGTACGCAGAAGTAAGTTCTAGAAAGGAGCGGTCTGCAGGAGAGGATATGGGGATCACTAGTAGCTGATTGTGGTTACTGAAAATGATTTATGAAAGTGACACGTGGTTCTGTGGTTCTGCAATGTGGTTTTACAAGATTGCAGTATTGAGAGAGCAAAACATTTCCAATTAAAGTTAGAGCGGGTGAGGTTCAGTGACGTGGACAACACTAGACATAGTTATGATCTATAGCAGGTGTGTGCATAGACAGAAACAAGCTGAGAAGGGGAAGGAATGGACGTTGGTGGGTGCTGAGCAGAGTGGGAACAGAGGCCACTTGTTAGGCTGTGGCGTCAGAGCTAGTAAGTTTGCTGTACATTCACTATTGTTCAAGGCATGGCCTAGGGCAGCAGAAACAAGGACTCCATATTCTTATTCATGCTAGATACAAAGCAGCAGACAGATGAACCAGCTCCGATTGTAAGCTCTGCAGAGCAAACAGATCTTCCAGTGTCTATGCTCATGATGTAACGTCTACTATGTATTATTGATTACCATCCACTTGCAACTCTTTCGTTCATGATGGCCAACTGTTGATCCTCTCGAATGAGGTTTTCAAAGGTTACCCTTCTCTGAACCAGTTTTATCTGTTGGCTTGAGTAGAGTTTTCTGGGGTTTTTTTCAGAAAGAATTCCTGAGGAGTTTCACAGCCAATATGTTTTCTGAGCGATTAGTAAAATTGTGTAATAGATCAATAAACAGGGTAAAGATTAATAATTGTTTCTGCAAACAGAAAAAGAGATGAAACCTTGATGCTCAGCGCAGTAGTTTGCGTCTATTTTACTGTTGTTACTTGACATCCTTATCCATGTGCTATATTGTCATATTTGATCATTTGTTTCCTTTTTTTGCAGACAATAAAGGCAGGCCGCGGTGACACAGTGCTTGCTGCTCACCATGCCGGGGATTGTTGTATTCCGCCGGCGCTGGTCTGTGGGCAGCGATGATTTGGTGCTGCCAGGAATCTTCCTTTTTGTACTACACAGCACCTGGTAAGTGGTATAGTGATGTTTTTCAAATTACCATTTTATCCAGGATAATATTTATTTAAAGCCCATCTCCAGGCAAAAGTGCCGCACTGCACAGATCAACTGCTCATTTTTTCTATCGGTCAACAGAAAGCTCATACTTGCCAATCCTTTGATCCTCTGGAAAACAGCTCACCTACATGGTCCAGCGGTGGACTGTTCCTGGTCTATGGAGCCTGCTTCGGGCATGATGCAATCAGGAACAGTCCATTATTCAAGACCGCAGGCGTATGAAGGTGCCGGATTGGTCTTGTGCTGGGAGGATCAGGTAAGTGTATCTCCGCTCTCATCTCCTCTAGAAAAAAAACAAGCAGTTAACCCATGCAGTGTTGGCACAGCCACACTGCATAGGAACAAATATTATTGTCTGAAGTTCAGCTTTAATAGAAAGATTGTGATATTGCCTATACATTTGATTTCCCTAACCTTACTGTTCCCTTAGGAGACAAAGGTATCCATACATGCAACTATTTCTTTCATTCAGCCTGTGGGCTAAATAAAAGAAAACTAGCAGATTCCTCTATTCACGCTAAACAGCATGGATGGGCAGATCTTCCCTACTGGCTATTGGATTCCTACATTGGCTGTTAAAATACCAGAAAAGTGGCTGCATCTGATTGGATGAGGCCACTGTTTGGCTGACAATTTTCCACCCGGCTCTATTGTCAAAATCTGGAAAAAAAACAGTTAAATTTTGTTGAGCTGGGTGGTGCTGACAGAGGTGCCTATGGCTCAAATTTCATCCAAGGCAACAGAGGTGATTGTAGCCGTATTAGTAGTACTGCCTGGACCTCGAAGAAGGGGACATACCCCGAAAGCTTGTCCTCAAAATTGTATGTTAGTGCAAATAAAAAAAGTATCATGTCAGTACTCAATTGTTTCTATTCAAGGCAACAGGAATCGACCAAAATACAAGCCGTGTATGGCTGCATTAAGTGTTCATACAGAGAAAGTAGTCATTCTGTCTGGACCACATACCCACCCCAAATGGCATACTGAATCAGGCAGCTGCACCCTTAAGAATGTTTAGAGCTTCCAGCTGAAATCTTTTATTTTAGCCACTCTTGCACATAGACATTTCCTGAAATACAGCAGGAAGGAAGGTTGGGTACACTTTCTCTTTATAAAGTACATTAATCCTTGAAAGTGAACCTTTACATTCCACAAGCATGTGAACACAGCGACTGTCATAACACACGACTTGAAGAACAATGGCAGAGGAATTTCTGACATGTGGATGCCATTAACAGCCTGCTGACATCTTTTCTATGCTGCATGAGAGGCAAAATGGCAGCCTGCAGAGAGGAAATATCAGGCTATCTAGAAACAGATAGGAGTAGGGTTTTTGTCCACAAATTTTGCACAATTTGAATTGTTATAAGCTTCATAATTCATATTTGGCATTGGTTTTTGTAGACACTGGAGCAAGAAAGGGTTCCTTGAATGGAAGACATGCAGATGACTGTCACCATCTCCCCTCCTCCAATCTCAGAACACTTTGTATTCAGTAAAAAGAATGAATGGAGGAGGTGCAGATGACTGTCTTTATCTCCCCTCCTCCATTCTCAGAACACCTTTTATCCATTGCAAGACGTTTTGTGAATAGAGGAGATGCATAGCGAACAACCCACTATGATCACTGTGGTAAAGTGAATGTTTAGCAGTTACAGTGGTGTCCAGGCCGAATGAAAGTAAAATTTTTACTGGGTGCAGCAGTAGCCAGTATGGGACACCCACTATTACAGGTAATGTATTTGTAGATGACTAATGGAAAAAATAATTTATTTTTCTTGGAGTTCAGCTTTAAGCTGGCCATGCTTTGAATGACATTTGGCTGGTCTAGCAGGGACTAGCTGAGTTTCAGTCAGGGTGTAGGCACCCCCGCTCGACAAAAGTCCAATATTTAAAAAAATTCAGTCGATCAGGGTGCCGCTGTCAGAATGCAATGTTCTGAAGGGGAGGATTCCTCCATCCATCTCAATTGTATGGATGTGGAGTCTGTTACTTGCTTTTTTTTTGTTCAATTAGCCACTTGTTGAACAAAACAGTAGATGTGTATGGCTAGCTTTAAGCTGACCCTAATGCTGGTCAGTATAGAAATGTATAGACGTTTTCTGACAACTACAAGTTATTGTAAAAATGATTGCAATGTTAAAGGAAACCAATCACCAACAACTTCTATAGCAGTGGTCGCAGTAGATTACGTTTATCCAGCCAATTGTTTTACTGAACAGCCCTACTAAAGGGATTTTTATATTCATGCCATCTGAAGAAGCAGTGCCCAAAAGGGATGGGCTCCTGTGATGGCTAGTGTATGGATTGGAGGCAGCCTCTGATAATGATTGCTGCTCTGTATTTTCAAATGTTTTCCCAGTTATTTAGAAGTAGAACTATAAGCAAAACTTTTTTTTTTTCATTTTGGATAGAGAGGGAGTGTTATAACCCTTGTCAATTTTTTTGCCATCTGTATCCCATTGGGGAGATATGCTTTCTCTACCTGCCCCATAGCCTAAACAGGAAGTAAGAGGAAGTCTCTACAAACTAAAGGAATCCATTGGACCCCCAGGTCAACAAAAACCAATGGCCCTATTAGAAGATTTCTGCTCTATTACTTTTCTGGGGACAACCCAAAATTTGGGATTTTCTTTTACTTTCACTTTCAATGATAATGGTAAATAGAGAGGGTGAATTTCTGTAACAGGGGCATAGACAGAAATAAAAATCTGACAGGTGTTCCAGTCCATCTCCACTCTGTCCAAAACCCCCCCCAAAAGTTGTGCAGGCACATCATAGGTCTAAATCATTCTGGATTTCTATGGAATCTCTGTAGCCAGTAAAAGGGCTGTGGTATGTAGTAACCCATAACAACCTGACCTAACCGGACTTGTTGAAAGCTTTCCTGTGATTTAATATGCTGTTTTCCCAAAAATATATTTTGCCAATAAAAGGAAATGGTTGGGGTCCAGATGTGATGTTTTACCCTGCTGAAGATGTTTTTTTCTTCACAAACATTCTGATAGTCAGGTATACAGTGTCATCCTTCCCCGTTACTTATGGTAGGGGCTGGTAGGTATCTCCAGGCAAGAAAAACTTTAGCTTGTATTTGCATGCATCAGTATTCCTTCAGGAAAAACAGGTTGTAGCTCAGTTATCCACCAACGTTGATTAAGTCGGCACATACTTTGGGAGTCCGGACTTGCAATCTATCAGTATTATCAGCCTGAAGAAGGGAGTGACTTCTTTTGAAGAATTTTGGCAGCATCAACAGGTTAACTTAATTATACAGAGTTCAAACACTCGGCACATTTTGATTGTGAGCACTCTGTGAAATATTGCTTTTTAATTTTTGTCCACATGTACACTTTAAAGCAGAATTAAACTCTGCTAACAAAATTTGATTAAATGGTCCCCCTGTATTACCATGCATCGCATACTAGCACATTATAGCAAACTTTCTTGTCAAGCAGAGCCCTCCAGCGACACGACATACTGTCTCTGTTCCAGGTGCTTTCATCTTCACCTGGTCTTCCTTCTGCGTCTGCACTGTCTGGCCATTTGAATGGCT